GTGCCCAGGGCCAGCTGCAGTGTCCTGGTCCGTGTCTCAGCAGCGAGGGGCTCTGGGAAGGCAGAGCAGGGCTGTGAGGAGCCCTCTGTCCCCCCTGCTCCTGACGGGGCTGGAATGGAGGCTGCTGCTGTTTGAGCAGCCCGCTGATCTTTGTGTCTCTCTGCAGCTGCAGCCAGAGCAGTTGGACTGTGGAGCCGCACACCTTCAGCACCCGCTGGCCATYGTGAACCCGGTCACAGCCACCCCCATCTTCACCCACAGCGGCCTGAGCGCGGTGGCAGTGGCCAGTGTCAACAACTACACCGTGGTGTTCCTGGGCACGGCCACTGGAGCACTCCTGAAGGCAAGTGGGCCAGCAGCTCTGGGCTGGGTGGGGTCACAGCTGTCCCTTCAGCTCCTCTGCTCTGCACAGGGGACAGCACTGCTTGGTCTGAGCACCGGCCTCTGTCAGGCCATGGAGAAGTCATTGGATAATTCCATAACCTGGATGGTAATGTACACTGCTGATGACTTGTGGCTGTTAATTGCTGCGTAGGGCTGCCATCTGAGCAGGGTGTTTTTGATAAGCCCCATGCTGAAAATGCTATTGTGCAGCATTGAATTATTGAATTTAGGGACTTACTTAACTGTATCAATAGAATTTTTGTATAATATAATTATATATGCAATATTTTGATATTATTTAATTACAATATTTTGTTATTATTTCAATTATCGAAGTTATTAAAATTATTAAAAGCTCTTCTAATAAATYCTCCCTCTGAGCTGCTGGCTTTTGAAGACTCTGCGTAGCTAGGGGAATGATAAAGAGATGCTTCTTCAGAGCTGAGTGCAAAGCAGGTGTGAACCCATGGTGGCATCTGCTGCAGAGAACGTGCCAGAGGTGGTGCAGGGTGGTGCAGTGCCACAGCTCTGCAGGACACAGGGCCAGGCTCTCTCTTAGTGCTTGAAGTTTGCCAGAACTAAGTTTTGATTCCAGGCAGCCACAGCAGTCTGGTAAACTCCCAATATCAAAAGTGCACAGGGGAGAGGGGGAAAAGGCCTGGAGCAGAGACAGCTGATACCTGCCTTGTCTGTGCCTGCGGGGACTGCTGCATAACGTGGGATACTGCATCAAAATGCTCCAATAGAAGAAAACTTATCCAGTCTCTTCCCTTTCGACTAAGTGCTCCTGGCAGAAATGTGGGAACAATCACAAAGGAACTTCCTGCTTTGAGTTTGCCCACAGGGGCAGGAGATTTGTGAGGGTGGGGTGGAGCTGGCATCGGGCCAGGCACAGGGCTGGGGGGCACATGCCACACGCAGAGCAGCCTGTTCACACAGCATTAACAGCATTTACAGCTCTGCTCCATTATCATCTCACAGAGACCAGCCTTATCTGCACTGCCTCCATTAAGGAGAGGCTCCTGGCTCCTKCGCTGGGATAATTTGCTCAGATAGCTGTAATCTAATTCCACAACACAGCTGCAGAACCAGAAGCCCTTTTACCTTCGGGGTTCCTTGCTCTTTGGCACAGGATGCAAGATACTTTGAGTGAGCAAATCATTCAGATTTGTTGCCTGAGAAAAGACAGCAGAGGGGCAGAAATAGTGCCAGCCCAACTCGTGCCAGCAGCAATTAGGGCTGCCAGGGGCATGTATGGGGAATTAATGCTATTCTGCATCTGCAGGTGGGCATTTGGTGAGGCCCAGTGCCACATCCAGCAGTCAGAGAGGGACAGCAGTGCTCGGGCAGCATGGCAGGCCAGACATGGCAGGGTTGGTGCCCTCAGGGGAATCTGTCGGGATGAGCCCCACGTGTCCAGATCTGGAAGGACACAGTGCTCTGCTGGGGCTGCTCACCAGTTTGTCCCTCTGGTCCCATCCACAGGACTGGTGCTCGCTGCCCCTCTGTGCTGCTGCAGGGCTCTCTCCCAGAGCCTGCAGCCCCCTGGCATCCAGGGAAACTGCCTGTGGGAAGAGATGAATGTGCCCAGGAGGCAGAGGAGCCAGGGACAGGAGTCTGGTAACAGCTGTGCAGGGAGCACATCTCAGCAGTGAGGCAGAGAGGATGGGCACAGAGCTGCAGTGGAGAATGTCAGGGCTCACTTCAGAGACACCTTGGATGATCCCAGCAAAATCATTCAGCTCTGGCTAGCCAGCTTGTAAAATGGACACAGCGATGGTTTCCTGCCTTTTCTGCATAGCTCTCAGTGCTTCCATATGATTCTCAGCAGAGAGAAGAGAGAAGCAGAGAGAAGCCTCTGCCTCGAGCCTGTGCTGTCATACTGGGCTGTGTTAGTGCTGCTCTAGTGTAAAAATTAATTAACCTATGTTTATTAATTAAGCCATACTTTACAGAGCAGAGGCTCACTTGGTCATTACAATTGCCTTCCCTTGCTAATAAGGAGGCAGGAATTTTCCTCCACTCCCTTTCTGTTTTAAGCTGAAAAGTGACTGTCACAAGAAATTGTGTAGCCCCATTGTTGTTTCCTCTCAGCAATGCCACATYTAATTTACTGAGTTTTGGAGTCAAATGCCAAGACATTCAGAGARCTGAAAGGCAGGCTGATGCTGTGCACCTTCTCCATCACTGCCAGTGCTTCAGCTGGTGCTTCCTGAGATGAGGTGGGACTTGGCAYTCTGGTGGCAGCTGCCCTGGTCTGCTGAAGCCAGCAGGGACAGARGCTTCTTCTGGCTGGGAGTGACAACACTTGTCTTTCAAATACGCAGGGAGCAGGGGATGCCGTGCTGTAGAGATTCTCACTGATTTTCCCTGGTTTTCATTAAGCTGTGGAAGCTCGCTGTTCTCTGTACACAATGTGCACGTGTACATGATGAGGGCTGAAGGCTGGTGCCACCTGCATGAGGTGAACACAAACCGTGCCTGCTGGATGCAGGAGTAGAGCTCCAGTCAGATGCTTTCCAGGCAGCCCCTCARACAGAGAGACCAGGGCTGGTGAGGCTCCTGCATCCCTGAGAAAGGCTGGGCTTTTCTGGGCTGTGCTGTGCCTGCCATGGCAGAGCTGGCGTTTCGCAGGAAAGCTCCATGTGAGCAGAGATTCACAGTGCCTGACAATGTGCAGCACCATTGTATACCATTTGGGTTTTGTTTATAACCAAGGAGAAATAATCTTCTCTTCTCCCCTTAATGTTTGAAAAGTGGTCTCAGTGAGTGCTTTGTTCTCTCTGCAGCTTAACCTGGACAGTAGGATGARGGTTGTTAGCAGGAGATCCATTTCGGTGGCGTATGGAGAGCCTGTCCATCCCATCATGCAGTTTGACCCTTCTGATTCCACCTACCTCTACCTGATGACCTCTTACCAGGTGAGATCTTCAGTCCTCAACACAACAGTCCTCGGAGCACATCCCGTATTTGATTTAGCTTCAGGCTGGGAGCAGGAAGGGGCAATAAGATTCTCTCTAAGATTAATGGTCAGAGCCAGGAAGTTCCGAGCTTTGGCAGTCAAAGGGCTTTCTGGGGAGGTGCTGTCCATTCTCCTGTGCTGGGTGAGCACAGCGTGCAGCACACTCATCAGGGTTTGTGGTGGCCAGGTAAAAAGGACAGTGAAGTATACTGAAACCAATTGCACATACAGGAGCACAGAAATAACCAGAGGTTATTCCCCTACAGAAACTCTAAAATGACAGTCCATGGTCTTTAGGAAGGCTTTCAGGAGATCCTACAGACAAAAAGGATGCTATCAGAAGCAGTCCCTGGGAGGTTTCTGTTCAGCCCTTTGCAGGAGGTGTCTGTGCAAAGCTGTGGAGCTGCAGYGGGTGCAGACGGTCTCATCTCCCTCAAGTTAACAGAGGAGGAAGATGAGAGGAGGAAGATGAGAGCTGAGCGCTCCAGGCGCTCGTGCTTTGTCCTGAATTACATTTTAATATGTCAAAACAGATGCAAATTACATTTTAATATGTCAAAACAACCACAAATGTTACATGTTGCATTTGTATTTTCCAAGCTCTAATTCCCTGAAGATTGGTCCTGATTGTTTCACAGACCCCTCCCAGGACACTTCTTTAGCTGATGGTCCTGGCTGGGCTGTGCCCTCYGCTCGGGCTGATCAAAAACCCAGTGCTGTGCTTATGGTGCCTCCTCTGACTGCTTCTTTTCCAATTAATCTGATGAATTAATTTTCTTTGGYGGAGTTAGCATCCCAGAAATGTCCCCAGGGTTGGGGTAGGGTTGCTGAGCTCTTCAGGGCTGGGGCACAGGTTGGTGCTGTGAGTGAAGTGGGGCTCTGGCCAAGGAGCCCACAGCCCTGGGTGTGCTTTCCTGGTGGGAGCTCAGGGCTCTTAGCACCTCACATTTTCAGTCTCCACTATTCCAAACTGCTCAGGTTTCCTTCCCGAATGTTTAGAGATGAAAGGGGAAGAAAGCAGAAACCAACACATGCTTTTCCCTTCCAGCTGCTCCTGCCAAGTGAGTCCCTAGAGGTGTTTTGATTTTTTAACAAATCAAGGTTTCCAGAGTGGTGCTGCTTTCTGATCTTTGTGTAAACAGCCAGGGAGGGCTGGGCTCTGTTTGCATGTGTGGGTGAGAGCTTTTTGCAGAGAAAGACAAGCTGTGAAGGCATCTCCATCTGACACCTCTGAAAGGTGCATTGCCACACCCTGTAAGCCGGTCATCACATGGCTCCTGCCATGGCACGGCTGGAAAGGAGAGCTCAGCCCAGCTGAGTCCAGCTCAGCCCAGCTCAGCCCAGCCAGCCTGCAAACCCTGTGCTTGCCCCAACCCTTGGGCATCCTCCCTGTGTTGGGAGGCACAGCTGGGACAGGCTGTGGTGGCCCTCAGTGGCAGCAGGCGGCTGCTGGGGCTTGTCCCGTGCCAGGGCGGTGGCACAGCTGCAGCCTGCGGGATGTGCCAGGGCTGCTCCTGGGGCTGCTGGGGTGCAGGGTGCAGGGTGCAGGGTGTGCCAGGGCTGCTCCTGTGGCTGCTGGGGCTTGTCCCTGTGCCAGGGCTGCTCCTGGGGCTGCTCCTGTGGCTGCTCCTGGGGCTGCTGGGCCAGTGTGTGCAGGGTAGGGCTGGCACAGCCCGAGGTGCTGCTCTCTCGGCTCCAGCTGTGCTGCTGGGGGCGGTGCTCCGTGGGCTGGCACATCTGGCAGCAGCTGTGCTCTTGTCTGCAGATGGCCCGGGTGAAGGTGGCTGCCTGCAGTCAGTACTCGACGTGCCCCGAGTGCCTGGCGGCCGCTGATGCCTACTGTGGCTGGTGCACCATGGAGACCAGGTAGGACCAGCACGTCCTGCTCACCYTCCAAAGCATGGCCTTTGGCCCTCGAGCCTGGCCAAGGRTTTGGGGATTTGGGGAYTTKGGGCRCCTTCTGTATTTCCCCACAGTCACACTACCAAGAGTCTTTTTCCATTCGTTATAACATAAGCACTGTAAAAAACAATAGTGTTTGGCCCAAAGGATTGGGATGTTCTTCAGAGTGAAGATTTCACTGTAGCTGGATTGTCGTGCCACAGGCACCTGCCAGTGCAGAGAACCTCTTGCAGGTGTGAAATCATGGGACTGGGAGAACCTGCACCCTATGAAAGTCCAGCTTTTGCCCCTGCAGATCTCATCTATGAGTAGAAGACAATCGTACGCAAAAGGGGATATTCAAAATCAGATTTCACATTTACAAACTGAAGATGCCAGACAAATGTCATCCTCTCCTCCTGAGTTCAGGTTCATCCTGGCCTTCTCCTCCCTTCTTCCRTCCTGGTGCTGCTGTGGGAGTGTGTGCTTTCATCACAGCAATCAGGCACTTCAGACATAGTGGCAAACATTGAGGCTAAGCTGCATGCAAGAAGGAGAAAGATACAGACACAAGATTTTCTCAGGATTTTCCCTCGTAAGAAACTCAACATTTTTATCACCTATTTTAAAACTCATTAACCATGAGTTCCTCTGTTCATTGCAGGTGCTCTCTGCAGCACGAGTGCACCAACTTCACAGGAGCCAATTTCTGGGCGAGTGCGAGTGAAGGAGTGCAGCAGTGCCCCTCCATGAGCATCCTGGAGCCCGAGATCAACATCGACAAAGAGAATCCGGTGCGTTTGGTGCCAGTGCCAAATCACTCCCTGCACTGTCTGTAGAGCATCGCTGCTCTCAGGTGAGAGCTGTCCTGTCCTCTGGTGGAGCAGCACAGCTCCCGTGGCTCGGAGATGGCTCAGAGATGGCTCAGGGGAGCTCCCGTGGTTTGGATACGGCTCAGGGGAATCTCCTCGTGGCTCAGATATGGCTCAGGGGTGCTCCTGTGGCTCAGATATGGCTCAGATATGGCTCA